CAGCCAGGTCTCCGTCCCCTCCCTCCTCGGCCAGTGGGCCCTGGCTCCCCACCTCATCCACGTCCTTCTGTTTCACTGGCCGGTGCTCCCTCACCTCCCGCCCGCCATGCCTGTGGCCCCAGCTCTCGCTGCTCTTCTCTCCTTTACCCCTTGGACTTGATGGCCCGCCCCGGTCTCTGAACCTGAATGCCATCTCCATGCACTCACTTTCGATTTCTCTTTTCCCTCCTCTGGCCCGGGAGCAACCCCCGTGCCCACCAAACACCTTCCCAGTATCTCCGTTAGTGGTCCACTCCACCTCCACATTCTACGTGCACCACACTGACCTCAGACTTCCCCTCGAACCAGAGAGCGCATGTGACTCTGGAGTGGATGCAGCTCGGTGAGTGAGGTCACGGTTGAGGCCGTGTTCAGGAGGGGCCGTGGAGCGGAGGGAGAAGAATGATGGAGAATGGGGAGCGTGGGCAGTGGACACAGTGCCCCTGTCTCAGGTCGCACAGGATGCAGGAGTGCTTGAGGCTGAGGAGGACCAGGAGCTGGGGCCGAGCCGCCTGTGCAGGGGCTGGGAGCCCTTGCCAGGAGGTGGTGAACTTGGTGTTATGTGCTCCAAGGAAACAGGGTTATTTTATTTCTTTTTTCTCATTTCTAGAAGCCTTGCTGGCATGGTTCAGTGGTTGAACATCGACCTATGAACCAGGAGGTCACAGTTTGATTCCCAGTCAGGGCACATGCCCAGGTTACACGGCCTTGACCTGCCCACCAGTAGGGGGCATGCAGGAGGCAGCCAATCAATGATTCTCTCTCATCATTGATGTCTCTCTCTCTTTCTCTATCGCTCTCGCTCTCCCTCTTCCTTCCTCTCTGAAACCAATAAACATGTTTTTAAAGGGGTTAGAGCACATGTGTCAAACACAAGGCCCTCGGGCCAAATCCGTCCCGCCAGGCTTTGCAATGTGGCCCGCACTGTGCTGTCATCACTGCACTCCGCTGCGTTTCCATCACAATGACAGTTTATGACTGTTCAGTAAACCATTCGGCCTGCGATTTAGGCTGGATTTTAGATTTTGGCCCCTTCTCTGATTGAGTTCCACACCCCTAGGTTAGAGGAATGAGGATCAGTAAGAGAACCTCATCATAAAGGAGTCTGCCCCTGCCTCCCAGCGCTGAGGTGTGGGTGTGAGAGAACAGACGTCCCGTCGAGAGACCTGCAGGGCCTGTCAGGCCCGGCTGCGGGACAGCAGGGTGGCCCGGGGCTTGGAGAGGAACTGGAAGGTGGGGGCTGGCTGACTGGGGGAGCAGTCCAGAAGGTGAAGGTGGTGGTCGGGAAGGAGAGCAGGTGGGTCAGGAGGCGTGGCCTGTGAGCTGGCTGGGAAGTAACCGGCCAGCAGAGGGGCCTCCACTCCAGCTGTGAGGAAGGAGGTGGCCATGGACGGGTGGTCCTGCTGGGCCCGGGGGCGGGGGAACACTTAGTCTGACTCTGGAGCGAGGGTTTGTGGGGTCTTCCATGGAAGCTAACCTGCCAACCCAGAGCCGCTCCCCTCCTCACATCTGTGCTCTCACTGGCCATGTCCATGTGCCTCGGGCCCCTGCATTCCTCTGCATACATGCAATTCATCGTTGTTTCTTTGTTTTGCTTTTTTAAATATGTTTATTGATTTCAGAGAGGAAGGGTGAGGAAGAGAGAGAGAAACATCAATGATAAGAGAGAACCATTGATCAGCTGCCTCCTGCACGCCCCACACTGGGGACAGAGCCCACAACCCGGGCATGCGCCCTGACCGGGAATTGGACTGTGACCTCCTGGTTCATTGGTTGAGGTTTAACCACTGAGCCGCGCTGGCCGGGCTGCAGCACTCCGCCGGGAAAGCCCACAGCCACACCCTGCCTGCTGGGCTGCCGTCTCAGTCCTCCAGGGAAACAGCCTCACCCGCTGGATCTAGCCTGGTTTTTCCTTTTTTCTTTACTCTTCCTCTTGAGTAGAACCTTTGTGCTGAGATGAAGTATAAAATCAAAGTGAAACCAAGTGTGGCCGATGACAGTGCCATAACCACAACTGTTTTCCGCCTGGACAACCCGGTCAACAGTCAAACTAGGTTTTCTTAGAAACTTCAGATGTGTTGAGTCTTTGATACCAAGGAGGTTTTTAGCTTTCAGAAGAGAGGAGACGCCTTTTTTGGGGGGGATTACGGGGACAGAAAAACTAGCCGGGCCCTGGGCCTGGAGGAAGACAAGTCTGCAGAGTAAATGAAGGAGAGTGGTTTGACTTGAGCAGCTTGAGATGTGAGATGGGCATGAGGCAAAGCCTCCAGGATAAGGACCCTGTTCCATTGACCTTCCTCATCTTTTCTAGAGCATTCACACTTTTCAGACAACCATGCGGTGATCGCCCAAAAGACAGACAGTACCAGGGTTGGACGGATGTGGAGAAACTGGGGCCCTCGTGCGCTGCAGGAGGCAGGTAGAAGGGTGAGGCCCTCTTACAGAACAGTTTGAATGAAACATGGAGTTACCAGAGGGTCCGGCAATTGCATGCCTGAGAGAACGGAAACCATATGTCTACTCACAGGAAGCTCATAGCAGCATCTTTCGCAGCAGCGAGCCAGAGTGCACCAGCTGGCGGATGGGGTCAGGAAGGGAGGCATGGCCATACGATAGGGGATTCCTCAGCCATAAAAAGGAATGAAGTGCCACACCTGCTACAGAGTGGATTGGCCTTGGATACATCATCCTGAGTGAAAGACACCAGACACAAGGCCTCATGATGCCACGTATATGAGATGCCCAGAGTAAGCAAGTCTGTGGAGGCAAAGGCAGGCTCCTGTTCACGGGGCCGGGGGTGGAGAGAAGGGGGAGGCAGAGGGAGAGTGACTACTGGTGGACACTGGGTTTCCTTCGGGGGTGAGAGGTGTGCTCTGGAGTTACATGTAGTGTGACTGCAGGATCTTGTGGATATACAAAAACTATTGGATTGTACACTTAAAAAGGTGCATTTTGTGGTGTGTGAGTTTTACTTAAATAGCATGGAATTTTTAAGAAAGAGGCCATGCACAGAGATACATATAAACATCTTTATTACCAAACATCATAGTGCCACGTCAAATACAATAATTATGACATAAGCTTAAATAAATATATATTTTAAACATTGTAAAATATTTTAAATCATAATTTAAAATACTTCAAAAAAAAAACCCAACAAAAAACACAGACACACTTCCAACCCTATAACATACACATTTACACTTGGACAGTTTCAAATAAAATGGCCATCCATATGCTGATCACACATTTCACATGCATCCTCTTCCTCTTATCTCCCAGGGTCCTTTGCCCTCCAAAACCCCTGCCGTCCTAACTCCTATCGCCCCTCCTCTTGCTTCTGGCTTTGCCAGGGCCAAAGGGCCACGGGGCCTCTGAGCGTGGCTTCCCTGGCACATGCAGAGGCGACGGGACTTGAGGGAGCTCTGACTCTCCCACCTGCGAGGTGGAAGCAGCCCTGCAGTCACTGACAGCTCGTCTCAGTGCCAGCGATCAATAACCGGATTCCTTAGGGGTTTTAAGCTCCTTTCCACATGAATATAATAAACACTTGTTCTTCCAGGCTTCCCTCCTCTTCAGGATAGCCTCCCACACAAGAAAACAACTGGGAAATAATCATTCGACATCTTCATTTTGTGAAAAACCTCTGGTCCTATTGTGGACTTAGGGCCTTGCACTCGTCAGGAATTGTATGCTGACACATCACATCCGACTAACATCTTTTTTGGGATGCAAAGGAACATCCTTGTTCCCACAGGCGGGGTGCTTTTTCAACAAAGACATTCACAAAAGGGTACCTTCATTCATTTGCGTGGATGCTTTTACCAAATCAGAACACTTGGCCTCCTGGAAGTTTTTCATCACGGAAACCACAGCTTTCTGGGAGATAAACTGACCGTGCACAGTGTCTGCCACTTAGCTTTTCCTCGCGTGGTCCTACTCTGTTTTTTAAAAGCAACTGTCGGGGGAAATTAACCATCTTCACTGGTTACATTGTCAGGGGATAGGATTTGCCCTTTTTCGAAATACGGTCACTGCAGGTGCCACGTTAGAATTTGTTAATAAATAAAGAGATGGTGATCTAGAGAGTGACTGTTGCCCGGTCATAGTTCTAACACTTACTTATGTTCAAGGCCCTACAACACGTGTAGTACTGATTGAGAATCATGGAACACATCTCCATGCAAGTGAGACGAATGCTTTCTCTAAGAATACCGTAAAGAGCACCGAGTCCCACAGGAACAAAGTGGTCCGGGCTTTGTTTGGTAATCTCCACACAGGTGTTGGCTGTGTTTGTTATCTCAAATCAGAACAGACTATCTTTGTATAAAGGCTTCCTCCAAACTTTTGACAATTATCATTCAGCCCATGACAGCAACTTTATAACCAGTAGTTGTAACACTACCAGAGTCCCAGTGCAGCAATTTGTGCACGGCTGGGGTCCCTCAGGGCTGAAACCGGCAGCCCTACACCACCTGCCGCTCCTGCCTGCTGCTCCCGCTCATAGTCCTGATCCCGTGCCCGCCCAAGGGGGGTGAGAGGGGTGGCCGGGATGCGATCAGCCCTCCAGGTGGGCGATGGGAGGCTCTTGCTAGCCCAGGATCTGGATCCATTCTGCTGATGTTCACACCAGTTGTCGAGAGCCACCTGGCGGCCGATTTTATATAATTTCTTCCTTTTGAAGCATCTAGTGAGGGGAAGCAGCCGTGGTGCCTGAGGCCTACTTCCAGGAGGCCAGGGGTACTGTCAGGATCGGGCTGATGATGCCAATCAATGGCTGCCTCATCCATTCTCTGGAGATTGGACCTGCAGGACTACTGAGGGAGGGAGTGGCCACCACCAGGATGGTGGGCCTCTGGGATGGGTCAGTTAGCTGACCACCAACGAACAGCTCCTGTGTTGAGTGTCTTTCCCCCTGGTGGTCAATGAGCGCCATAGCAACTGGTCAACTGGTCAACCAGTCATTCAGTCACTTAGGCTTTTATATAGAGAGATGAAGGACAAAAGAAAGAAACAAGGTCACGAAATACTGGGTTTCTCCACCAAGATTTCATCAGGAGTAGGGAGAGTTAGAAATGGAGTTCTGAGACTCCGGAGCCTTAGGCTCTTTGTTTTTGTCTGGAAGAGATTGTCCTTCCCCCTGATACCCAGCACTTTGCAGAGCCTCAGAACAAGACAGAGGAAACTGAGTCATTTTGCTGGCAGGCTGGCCTTGCCTGTGGGACGTTGGTCCTTTGAAGTTCCTGAAGGCATTACAGTCCAGCTGCAGTAGGTGACAAAGGTCTGAGATCCAAGGAGAGCTCCCTGCCTCTGCAGTCCTCAGGGCATCACTCTCATTCCCTCCTTTACCTGATATTCCTGCAGGGACAAGCGTGCAGATCATCAGGACACTTAATGCTCTGCATAAGAAGAGTGACAACAGAATTCATCTTCTGTTCACTGTATGCACTCTCACTGGGGGAGTGCAAACATGAACAGCAAATCCTACTCCGTTAGCTCAGTGCAGCCATTCTGTATGTGGCAATGAAGGTGGATTTGTGTCATATAGTTGTCAAAACCCCTAGAATACACAACACCCAGACTGAACCCTAAGACTGTGAACTTCAGTTAACAATGTAACGATGTAGGCCCACAGGTTGTAACAAAATACCATACTAATGCAAGATGTTAACAATAGAGGAAATGGGGGGTGGGAGGCAGAGTATGTTGGAAGTACGTGCTTTCTGCTCACTTTTCCTATGAACCGGAAATGCACACAAAAGGTACTCATTTTTTAAAAAGCATTTGGGGAGACTTGACCCTTTCAAATCCTCAGAAAACAGAGCAGAGTGGTGAAGGCCACAGATTCTAGAACCGAACTGCCCAGGCATGAATCCATCCTGGCCACCCACTTACTAGCTTTGCGATTTTATGCAAGTTACTTCTCTCGGCCTCATTTTCTCCACCTATATAATAATAAATATAGTAATAGCACCATCACATAGACTTCCTGGCTCAGAACTGTTCCCAGGATATAGGAAGTGCCATATAAAGGGTAGCTATTATCATCGTTATTATTATTTTTTTTAAATATATTTTATTGATTTTTTACAGAGAGGAAGAGAGAGGGATAGAGAGTTAGAAATATTGATGAGAGAGAGTCATCAATCAGCTGCCTCTTGCACCACCCCTACTGGGAATGTGCCAGCAACCAAGGTACATGCCCCTGACCGGAATCGAACCCGGGACCTTTCAGTCTGCAGGCTGACGCTCTATCCACTGAGCCAAACCGGTCTCGGCTATCATCGTTATTATTAACTTCCATAGCGAACTGACTCAGTGTGGCCAGAGCCTGGTTCCTTTCCTCTCCTCCTGCAAACATGTGAAACCACAGTCCCGTGAAGAAATGACCCCTAACCCCCACACTAGAAACTGATGGGTTGGGGGGGGGCGGGGCTCAATGAACAACAGAACATGCAAAGAGGCTGTCTCCTCTCAAAACCGCATGTGATTGCAACGCCTACCTGATTCCCTTTGGGTTTAAATTAGCGTCTGGTAGGATCCGTCGGAGGGAGGGCTTTGGCAGCTGCTGTGGATACACAAGCCCAGCGGGTGAGGCACCGCTCTCAGCCGGAAGAGACAGACAGACGACAGACGTGTCTGTGCTCAGCGGCACGCGGGGTGCAGAGGGCGACTTACCTGGCGGGAACAAACTTCTTTGCTGCAAAAAAACCCCCCGTAATTCGGACTCAGTGACGTTGAAGGACACCTCGAGTCCAGAGACAGTCTGGTTCGCCCTCAGGGGTTACACATCCAGGGCCTTCGGGGGCCCCGCGTAATCAGAGCGCCAGCACAGCGTGGCGGCGAGTAGGGCGCGGAGGGGCCTGGCTCCCCGCACCAGCCGCAGCCACGGGCTCGGCCTGCCAGAGGCAGGGTCCACGTTTTCCTGACAAGTCCCGAACCCGGGTCTTGTGGGGAATTTCCTATTTTTGTCATCAGAACTTCGTTCAAAGAAATGTTCGATACTCCGGAGGCCAAACAAACCACAAGCGTGGCTGGATGCTTTGCGCATCCCCTCCGATGTATTCCCCCGTGGAAGCCTGTGCCCCAAGCACATTTTCAGAGACATTCTGCCCCCTTTCCTGGGAGCACGGCCTCGGAGGCCTCGGAGGCCACGGAGCCCAGAGGCCTGCGCTGCCCGAGGTGCTGCAATGAGAGTGAGCGCCACAGACACACATTTCCTAAAGCTTCCCGCCCGGTGTGTGCACTCCCCGGAGACCGCTGCTCCGCGCGGCTGCCGCGGACCCTGACTTCCTGCCCCAGAGCGTGGCCAGTGTCGGGGGCGTGCACAGGCCTCACCTTTCTTCCGAAGGCGCTTCAGCAGCCAGAGCAGGAAGGACGACGCTGCCAGGAGGGAGGTCCCCCCTGCGGAGAGCCCGATGGCCAGGGGCAGGCTGGACGGGGCGGGGGCTGCGGAGACAGGGAGGAGCCGTCACAGGAGGAACTGGCTTGGAAATCCTTCTGTCCTTCTGCTCTGTGCATCTGCCCTTTGCTCTGTACACACATCACTGGGCCCAGAGCAGAGGAGCCGCGCGGTTCGCACGTGGGAGGAGGCGTTGCATTAAAGACCTGGGAGGTCTGCCCAGCCCAGCCCGACTCATTGCCATGCTCTTTCCCGGCACACAATGCACCCCAGACTCTCTCTCTCTCTCTCTGTCTTTCTCTCGCCCCCCCCCCCCAGCTCTCCCTTTATGATGGTCAGTATTCCACCCGTTCTATCACCATGTCACCTCTTCTGTTTTCTCTGTATTCCCATTAAGTTGCATTGTCACAGCTTAGTAACCTGGCCTTTCTGGTTTGCACATAATGGATCTTCCTTATTTTAGTCAGATAACCCCCTGCTTCACTCTTGCCACCCCCCCCCCAACGACCTCCGTCAACAAGGGCCTCACCTTCGCAGGCGGGCGGCATCCCGGACCAGTGTCCTGCTGCTCCGCACGTCAGCGCCGCCGAGCCGTTGAGCGTCCATCCCTCGGGGCACGCGAAGGTGCACTCAGCGCCGACCACGAGCTCCTCGTCGCAGCTCACGGCCACCTTGCCGGGCGCTGCCGGGCGTGAGCATCGCACCGCTGCAGGCGAAGGACCGGGCAGAGGTTAAGGAAAATCCCCCAGAGGCTCCTAACCCCGGCTGGACGGGCAGCACACAAGCATGCTTATGGACACTGTGTCGTTTTTTTCATTTTTTAAATTTATATTTTACTAGAGACCCAGTGCACAAAATTTGTGCTTGGGGGAGGGGGGGCAATCGCTCAACCTAGCCTGTGCCCTCTCCAATCTGGGACACCTTGGGGGATGTCCTAAACTGGCAGTTGGACATCCCTCTCACAATCCAGGACTGCTGGCTTCTAACCACTAGCCTGCTGCCTGCCTGACTACCCCCATAACCCCTCCCCTGCCAGCCTGATTGATGCCTAGCTGCTCCTTTGCTGGCATGATTGTCCTCAACTGCCTTTCCCTGTGGGGCTGAGGGGACTGAGAGACTCCAGCTGGATGAAGCAGGACTGCGGGCACTGGGCACCACTATCTTCTAGCTGTGGGTGCCACCATCTTGTGATGGCATAATGGCCAATTAGCATATTCCCTCTTTATTAGATAGGATTGCTTTTGGAGAGGAAGGGAGAGGGAGAGAGAGATAGAAACATCAATGATGAGAGAGAATCATTGATCAGCTGCCTCCTGCACGCCCCCTACTGGGGATCGAGCTCACAACCCAAAGCTCTGAGCCAAACTGGCTAGACTCAGAGCAAGGCTCTCCTTTAAATGAGGCTCAAGCCCCTGGGGGCGACGTGTGAGGACTCGACCCACATGGACTCCTCTGAGTGTGACTTCAGTCTGACCTTGGCAGGAGGGGGCCTCCCGTGTCCACCGTCCCCGGGCTGTGCACTCCAGGCGAGCTGCCCCCTGCAGCCGGAAGCCGTCCTGGCAGCCGAAGGCGCAGGAGGAGCTGGGCGTGAGCTCCCCGGCAGGGGCGTGGCGGCACCGCACCCAGCCGCCCCGGGGCGGGGCCACCGGGTCACATCGCACAGCTGGAAGGGGAGCGAGCACATGAGAAGTTCACTTGTCTCAGGAGCCACAGGTTTCGCCAAGTCTCTGGCTCTTCTCTATATAAACACATTTTTAAATTTTCCTTTTTGTTCATCCTCACCCCGGGATATCTTCCCATTGACTTTTAGGGCGAGTGGGAGAGAGAGGGAAAGACGGAGAGAAACATCGATGGGAGAGAGACACAATGCTTGGTTGCCTCCTGCACAAAGCCCCGACCAGGGCCCAGGCTGGGGAGGAGCCTGCAACCAAGGTTCATGCCCTTGACCGGAATCGAACCCAAGACCCTTTGGTCTGCAGGCCAATGCTCTATCCACTGAGCCAAACTGATTAGGGTTTCAATGATTTTTTCAATCTTAAAAGAAAACAAAAACTGTACCTTCACACGTGGGCTCCACGCCGTCCCACTGCCCCAGGGGGCCACACTGGAGCCTGGCTGGTCCTGACAGCACAAAGCCCTGCTCGCAGGAGAACGCACAGCTGGCCCCGGGCTGGAAGCTTCCGGAAGCGCTGGGGGGACAGCTCACGCGGCCCCTCTCGGGCCTAGAGGGGGCTTTGCACTGGGAAGCTGAAACAGCAGAGCATGGTCAGGACACGCTGGCGGGACAGGAGGGACCGCGTGGGCCGCGTGGACCCAGTGCACCGGGCAAGGACAGGCCCGGGGCTCGGACTCTCGGTTACCCGGACGGTAACCATGGCTCTGACCTAACAGGACAGGCTCCTCGGACATGGGAGAGAGGAGGGCAGGGCCAGGCGGGGTTTGTGTCCTCAGAGTGCAGCTGGGTCTGGATGCGATTCAGTGTTTCCCAAAGTGTGGTACGCGCACCCCCAGGGGTACGGAAAGAGTTTGGTGGGGGTACGCGTTGCACCGGAGTTTGGTGGGGATGTGCCCTGCACTGTGCTTAGCTGCGCCTAATTCTACGTTCTCGTGAGTACGAGGGGTACTCAGCGTTACGAAAATTATAGAAGGGGTACACATGTGTCAAAAGTTTGGGAAACACTGCCGGGATGGTGCCGGCGAAGGGAGGTCAGCACAGCCACACCGGGCCTGCTGTGCAGGGGTGTGTGGCTGTGGCTTTTGCCGGGGGCAGGGCCCTGGGCCACCGGTGGCTGCGAGGACAGCAGCACCTGGTGTGGAACCTGCTGTTTTCCGGGTGCCTCCTGCCTTAGGGCCGGTTAACTGCTGTGCTGAGCCAGGTGACAGCGGACGCCCGGCCCTCCCCCCTTGGCGGAGACACTTCAGAAGGAAGGAAGCCAGGTTCTAACTTCAGGGGGAGCTCTCAGGGTCCCACTGGTTAAATGTAAATCTTACAGTGACACTGCCTCTCCCACACCCTCCGCCATGGCTCTGTGGGTGGCCCAGCAGGGAGCCGGCCTGTCACTGCTCTCACTGGGCAGAGCTTTCCCGGCTGCGCCTGGTCCTGCTGCGCTCCAGGAGCTGAGAGCCTGCTGCCCCCCAGTCTGACTTCCTGTCTCCTTCCAGACCACCCCCACCCCCTGTCACCCTGATGCTGCTGGGAGGGCCGGGCTCACCCTCACAGCGCGGGGCGGGCTGCGCCCACCGCCCCTGCGCGGTGCAGTCCAGGCGGGCGGGCCCCCGCAGCACGAAGCCGTCCTCGCAGGCGAAGCTGCAGGCGGACCCGGAGGCCAGCTCCCCGGCCCCGGAGAGGCTGCAGCTCACCGAGCCGTGCGCAGGGGCGTCCGGGGCGGCGCAGGTCAGGGCTGCAACACAGGGACCAGGGATGGCAGTGAGCAGGGCTGCAGGGAGGGAGGGGGGGGGGATGGAGGTGTTGGGGGGTGAGGGGGGGAGCTCTGAGCAGTGAATCCCACAGGCCTACCTGTGCACGTGGGCTCCTCATGGTCCCAGCGCCCGGCCGCCGTGCACCGGAGGCGCGGGGCCCCCACGAGCTTGAAGCCGACCTCACAGCTGAAGGCACAGCTGGTGTTCCATGGGACGGTGCTCCCCGGGACCATGCTCCCCGGGGCCGTGCTCCCCGGGGCCGTGCTCCCCGGGAGGGTGCTCCCCTGGAAGGCCGTGGGGCCCGGGGAGCAGGCCGTGGAGCCGTGGGCAGGCGGTGTCACCGGGGCGCACCGGACCTCTGCGGGGGGAGAAGGCACAGGGTCAGGGCGTTAGCGCGGGAGCCGCTTCCTGCCCAGCCTGAGTCCGGGATGGAGCGAGGAGCAGCCTTCCAGAGGCCTGGCAACTCCCAGGACGGAGGGCACACCCGGGGAGGCTTTCTCTCTCTGGTGGCCATTCCCCTCTGTTCTGGGCATCGCTCTGGGCTCAGGGTCTGATCTGGAGCCCAGTCCCCGGACCTGAGCGAGGTGTCAGGGCCCCAGTGCAGGGCAGCAGACCCTCAGCCCCAAGCTGGCTCGGGGTGCGGGAACAGCAGGGACAAACCAGACACCATTCACTAACTCCCACGCTCCCCGAGGACAGAAGACAAGACAGAGGGAGAAGGAGACGCAGAGGCGGGCTGGCCACACAGCCCTGGACTGGGCTGTTGCTGCCGTCAATCAGGGCGAGGAGGCAGAGGCCTGAGGTCTGGAGCGTGTGCCCGGTTTGCTAGGTCCCAGGGCCGCAGAGGCCTCTGCACACCGAGACAAAGCCTCTCACCCCAAGCGGGACGGCCCCGGCCATGGACACTGGCTGAGGACAAGCTTTCTGGAAAGAACTTTCCCGAGAGTCTGGACATGTCCCAGGTCGGGTAGGAAGCTGGGGCGGGGAGGGGGCCCCGGAGACTCACCCTCGCAGGCCGGCAGGGGCTTGCTCCAGGCCCCGGAGGCGGTGCAGCGGGCGGCGCGGGGGCCGCGGGGCCGGTAGCCCTCCCTGCAGCGCAGGGTGCAGGAGGCGTTGTAGCCGAAGCTTCCCCAGGGCCCGGTGCACTCCAGGCGCCCGTGCTCAGGGGCGTCCGGGGCCGGGCAGGTCACCGCTGGAAAGGAAAACCGAGTCAGTTCTACCCTCTCTCAGCTCCTCAGGAGGAGGGACCCCGGGAACTGCAGCTACTGTGGGTTCCTGAAAACCCCTGTCTGCCTCGGGTCCCAGAATCCCAGCCACCAGCCCAGGAGGCAGGCTGTTCGCCTGCTCATCCTGCAGCAAGAAAGCTGGGACCGGTGTGCAGCTCTGGTCACGGTGCCACGTGAGCGGGGAATCTGGGGTTTGAACCCAGAGGGTCCGGCTTCACAGGCTCAGCCCTTGCCCACCGCCCCTGGGCACCACAAGCTCCCAGGAAGCTGAGGCCTGCAGACCCGGCTCCGAGCCAGCCAGCTCGGCTGGCACTGCCATCCCAGGGAGGACAGGTGGCATCGGACTCACCCTGCTCGCACTGGGAGCCACGGAAGCCGGCGTGGCACTGGCACGTGTAGTTGTTGATGGTCTCCACGCAGTCGCCATGGCCGCTGCAGGAGGCCGGGGTGCAGGCAGCTGCGGGTACAGAGGCACGGCAAGGAGCGTGAGCCCGTGGACTTGAGGGTCAGCAGTGAGCACCACAGACGTCACCAGTGACACCAGTGCCCGACGTCCTGACGGAGGAGCCTTCACAGAGCACCAGAGCCGGGCTCCGGGCTCGGCGGCTGAGACCCTGATGCCAGCACGGGGGAGGCAGGGGGACGGCCATTCCCGGCACCAAGGCTAGGAAACTCACTGGATCCCAAACCCTAACGACGGCTCCCCCGCCATCGGCCAACACATGCCCTGTGCGTGTGCACACACACCCTACATGTGTACAGGCCTATACATGCAGCTACGGACACAGGCACACATGGGTGCTTGCCTGCATTCGCACAAAGAAGCAAAGAGATACTTTCTCAAGCGGCACACTTTAACACCAGATTTTTAGAACATAAAATCATCGACCTAGGCCGTTTGACTCAATCCAAAGAGTGGGCTCAATCCCCAGTAGGGGGTGTGCAGGAGGCAGCCGACCAATGATTCTCTCTCATTACTGATGTTTCTCTCTCTCCCTCTCCCTTCCTCGGAACTCAATATATATATATATATATATATATATATATATATATATATATATATAAATAAATCACATAGAGATCAGTGTTTGCCTAGTGCCAGCAGTTTGTGGTGAAATCTTCCTCCCGCCGTGCCCCCCTGTGTGGCACAGGCCTCCCTCTGCCCGCCGTGCCCACCTGTGTAGCACAGGGCGAGCTTGCGCTTGCTGCACCGCTCGTCGTTCCACTGGCCGGGATTCAGCGGCCGCCGGATGTAGATCTCCACGCAGTCCTCGTTCGCCTGCTTGTTGTTGGGCTCGCCGGGCGCCCAGTTGGCAGCCTCCTCCGTCAGGGGCTTCCCGGTGCCGATCCACACCCACTGGCCTTCCACCTTGCGGATCCCGATCCAGTAGTAACTGGTCGAGTGGTTGAGGACGGAGTTCAGGTGCTGGATCTCCTCCTGGTTCTGAATGGCCACCAGGTGGGTGTAGTGCTGCTGGCAATAGGCGCTGGCCTCGTCAAAGGTCAAGTTCACCGGGGAGGTGTGGTAGGACCAGGCTGTGCCCGGTCTGACCAGGAGGAGCGCTGAGGGGGAAGGCGAAAGGAAGGAGAGCGGTCAGTCCTGCCGAGGTCTGGCTCTGAGCTGGCCTTCCTCCCCTCCCCACTGTTCCTCCTCCTGCTGCCCCCGGGGAAAGTGTAGGTCGCCTCCCTCACGTGTGACGGGCACCGTCCAGGGGTATAAATAGCTTCATGTGGGCAGGCCTCACCACCACTCATCTCCAGCTCTTCCATCTAAACACGGAAACCTTACATCGATTGAACTCTGACCCCCTCCCTGTCCCAGGCCTGGCAACCAGCATTCTGCTTTCCGTGCCTCTGACTTGCCCTGCCCTGGCTCATGCCTGTGGGGCTCTGCGGCTCTTTCTGGGCCTTTTTCCCACTTAGGGAGGCCCACAGCGGGCCTCAGGATGACTCGAACCTTGTTCTCCAGAGTAAGAAGGGGTTCGCACAGAGAAACCTCGGTCTCCTGCGTTTTCTTCTATGACTGACAGCAGTTGCTTAGCCTGCTCCCACCACAGTCCGTGGACCCCTCTGCCGTGGGCCAGGAGTCAGAGTGAGCAAGCGCTGCTGGGCGCCACCAGCCTGCTGGGAGCTGTGCCTGCCCATGACCCTGACCCTTACGGTGCTGCTGGGACTGAGCTGTGCACGGCCAACACCTTGCACTTACAGAAACCGAGACACAAAGAGGTAAACTGCCCTGGTCCAGGGCACACCACCACTCTGTGTGGGAGGGCAGGGTCTCTGCTCACCCTGTGATGCACCAGGAAGCATCATGGGTCTGAAAGGGCCCAGGTGCCCGGATGGAGGGGGGGAGAGCCGCTCCGATGGCGTTGGCTTACCAAAGGCGAGAGCAGAGAACAGCCACGAGGCAGTCATGGCTTCAAGAGTTCTTCCTGTCCAAGGTCGGACTTGAGGTGCTTTTCCTGGGAGAAAAGGCACAAAGTGAATTACAGAGTGAAACCCAGGCTGCCGGTTTCTCAGCTCAGCCTCCAGGGGTGTTTGCCGCAGCCTCCCAAGACCTTCGGTGAAGGGCTCTAGGGCCACGGTCCCTGTGAGAGAGAGGTTTGCCTGAATGAATAAATGAGAGTTTTACACCTGCGTGCTTGAGGTCACAGGGAGAAGCCCGCCTTTGACGGCCCGGATGTGGAAAGGTCCCGTCAGGAGGCCTGGCATATCTGATCATCGAGACCCTCTCAGTGGCACTGCCCAGGGCTGCTCTCTAGAGACTTACGGGTTTGTGGAGACGCTGTTTCCCTGTCCGAGTCTGGTTCCCGGCACGTCCCCTCTGAGTCCTGTCCCCTCCGAGTCCCTGTGCTGTGTCCGCTGCTCCTCTGGGGCTGGTGCCAAGCCAGCCGACAGCAGCAGAGCCCGCGCTGCCGGAGCCTTTATAGGGCGGCTGGCTTCCTGTGAGTCACGGCCAAACAGTCCAAACCCGCAGGCAGGAATTCCCGGCATATCCAAGAAGTTTCCCGGGAATATCCACGGTGCTAAAGATGACAATGATATCAGGAACCTGCCCCGCACACCGAAGTCTCCTTTGTTACACACCTTTCCATGAATTCCATGAATATGACACAAGTGCATGGTCTTTCATTTTAATCATGAAAAAATCTCCACCTTTAAAACTTCGCCAGTTAGCCCTGACCGGTGTGCTCAGTGGTTAGAAGGCCGGCTCATGCATTGAAGGGTTGGGGGTCTGATTCCCAGTCAAGGGCATGCACCTGGGTTGCTGGTTTGATCACCGCCCTAGTCGGGGCTCACGGGAGAAACAACCAATTGGTGTGTCTCATGTCAATGTCTCTCTCTCTCTCATTTTTCTTCTCCCTCCCTCCCTTCCCCTCTGTCTGAAAGGCAGTGGAAAAAAATATTCTCAGGTGAGAATTAAAAAAAAAAAAAGCTTTGCTGCTTAGCAGCATCTCCTCTGTAATTGTGGTAGCAATGCCAGTAATGGGTCACCAACCACATTTTTCCTCTTTCTCACCTATCAAGTCAACCCATCTTAAAGTACACTGTCTCAATGAGTCACAAGCTGTACAATAATCCTCAGGCTCTGTGCATAGGTACAGCCAAACTACTAGATATAATATTTCCAAAATGTGTTGAGTACTCCCTATGTGCCAGGCCCCATTCTGAGCATTTTGCATATTCATCTATCAGACTGTCTAATCTTCACGACAGCCAGTGAAATAGGTGCTCTTAGTATCCCCATTTTAAAGACGAGGACATTGAGACATCACAGGTTTTACCCTTCTCAGCCAACAGCACAGAGCGATGGGGGAAGCCCAGACAGTCACCCTCAGGACCTGATCCCTGAACTGCTGCCTCGCGTCCCGGTTCCTTATTGTCAGGCCCTCGATGAGCCTCCTTGTCCTGCCCGGGTCTCCAGTCCTCCTACTTCTTCCCAGAGCAACAGGACCACCCCAGCTTTCGGCGGGGAGAGCTGATACTCTCGGATTCTGAGACATGGAGGCAGGAAGGAAACGCAGAGCAGAGGACGGAGGCTGCAGTGAGAATGGATCCCGGCCCCCAACACACGGGGAAGAAGAGGACAAAGGAGCGAGCATGAGGCTGAGCATCCCCAGGACCCACTGTGGTCCCTTCGCCACACTTTCCAGGAGGTCCTGATTCAAGAGCCAATTCTCCCTGAAGCTAAAGGACAAAATGATTGCTTAAATGTAAACTGAGATAACTCAAGGGAGAGAACCCAATACACAAGGAGGGATAAAAGAAATGAGGGGGTGAGACTTGTGGGTAAAGGTGACCTATTATTCTTATTACTAGAGTCTCAGTGCACAAAAAAAGCATGCAGGAGTCCGTCACTGCTCACCACGCCCGCCACCCCACAAGCCTGCTCGCCGCTGCTTGCTACGCTTGCATGCTGCCCGCCTTGCTGCCATTGGAGCCTGTGCCCCAGGGGAGGGACCAAGAGGTGGTCAATGCACCCCACGGCGACTGGTCAGGCGGTCAATCTGGTTGTGATGCTTATGGCCTCTGGCCTTTTTTTACATAGGATTGTAACCGTGGGAATTACAATCCACCCCACCGTTCTCCTGACACTGTATCTTTAAATACTGACCCAGACTAGTGTGCAGCTGGTAGGTAAACAGCATGTTTGTCTAAGAATCCCAGGAATTAACTTCAGCAGACACTGACCCTGATCTTCAGTCATCCATGTTCCAGGAGATTTGCTGACCTTCAAGTGCAGAGTCAGGATGACCAAGGCCAGAAGGATGCACGTCAGACCGTCACCTAACCAGTTTTGAGATCCTCATGGGAATGGACGGTGCTGGAGGGAAGTGTGGCGCCTCCGAGACCAACCCCCTCTCCTTTCTTTCTTTGTTCAGCTTTCCCTCTCCCTCCTCATGAAAATCACTGAGGTGGGCAGATGAGCTTGGACAAGAGTCCCCCATCTCCTCGAGATTCTGGCACTTGAATAAACCTCTTTCCTTTTTCACCAGCACCTGTCTCATGAGTTTGTGGGGGGGGGGGGGGGGGGGGGGTTTGGTTCTGGTTACATTATTATTGTCACCAGAGCTATGAAATTCCAAACCTACTACAGTCACCCTGCACTCTCCCAGAGGGAGCCTCTGAGGGGGCTCTGAGAATAGGTGTCTGGGGTGCAGGGGTCTCTCTTCATGCTCCAGGGCTGTGGAAGGGTCATAGACAGACCTGGAGGCCTGTCACAGAGAGACCCCAGCACAGGGAGGGGCAGGAGCGGGTGACAGAGGGACGGCAGCCTCTTCACCTGCACTTTCCTATCAGGTGAAGGGCACTCCCCTTTGGGGGCACCCCCTGTTGGAGATCCGCAATGAATTGCAGAGGAAACTGGGTGAGAGCTGAATAGTTAGGGGTGTTGAATCTTATCTCTCACTCCCCAAAAACCTTATTTCCCCCAAGTAACACGCTGGTTAGAGGTGTCCCTGCTGGGCTGCCCCTCTGGCTTCACGTGGGCTCCTTTGCCATCTCCATCGTGGGGGAGAGGAGAGAAGAAGCAGGAGGGAAGCACACGTGGGCACTGCCCAGCCCCACCACCAGGGCCGCTTGGTCTCAGAGGCGCCACACTTCCCGGCTGAGCATCCCTTTCCTGGAAGCTCCGGCCGCTCCTCCTTTAATGGGCGCCAAGGACGTGGGCCACACTGGCTGCTGTGCCAGGCCAGCTCTCGCTCACCTCTGTGCCAGAGGGACATCCCTGAGGAGCCAGAGCCAGGGCAAGGGTGTTGGGGTTTCCAAGACACACGCTGCCGTTTTATCCCGGGCATCCTGTGCACCGGATGGGGCCAAAGAAAAGCCACGGCGGGAAAAGGCAGCGCCGGCCGTGGCACAGGCCGAAAGGCAGCCTGTGAAAGGCGAGGGTTTAGCTTTGGCTCCTCGCTGCAGAGGCAACGGCAAAGCTGGCAGGGGCCGGCTCTCGCCCTCCCAGGCTCCCAGCTCCCTCCCCTCTGGGCAGGGCTGCTAGGCGCTCATTTTTAAAACACTTGGCACCTTCCCCCAAATTCTGCTCTGCTGCCATCTAAAGCACTTCTGCGGAGTCTCCGGTAGGGGAGGCAATCCCAATGAAGGTTCAGGCCTCTGTGCAGATCACAGGTGTAGTCCTCGCACACCCCAAACCCTGAGATACACTTCCTGTCACTCTCACCGTGTGGGCGTGGCTTGTCTGACCAGCCCACAGACATGTTTGATGGGAAATTGATCTGGCTCCTTCTACATCCATTCCCCAGGAAGGCTTGGTCACTCATTTGGGAACTGGAGATGCCTTAGGCCATCGGAGTCAGGTAGGAGCCCTGGGCACTCTTGATCTGCCCGCCCTCCCCTCGCCCCACTCCTAGCTGCAGTCAATCCTGACACCCTCCCTCCTGGACGGCCGGACGCCCGTGGGTAGCAGCTGGGCAGACACAGGGACGATGCAGGGTGACTGGGGGAGGAGGGAGGGAAGGGTCCTCAGATTTTCCTCTTGAAGAAGACTAATGGGCAGCTCAGTTATGTATGTGCTTATTGGTTTGTTTGTTTATAAAAATATTATACTTACTGATTTTACAGAGAGGGAGAGAGAAAAACATTGACTTGTTGTTCCACTTGTTTATGCATTCATTGATTCATTCTTGCATGTGCCCTGAAGGGGGATGGAACCCAGAGCCTTGGCGTAGCAGACACTCCCACCACCGGAGCTGCCTGGCCAGGGCCACGGGCAGCTCCTTTGAAATGCACGTCCTTGGGCCCAGCACCCGGAGCGCCCGGCTCAGCGGGCCTGGGTCGTCCCAGGAATCGGCTCTTTAAGCGAATATCTCCGGTGATTCTGGCACATGTGGGCGGGGCCACCGAGAAGGCCTGCGTCAGGGGCTCAGTTCCAGGCACCGCTTCGCGGCAGGCAATCCCGACACCCTCTCTCCAGAACGGCCGGATGACCAGATGCCTGGACGCCCGGCGGTAGCAGCTCTGGGCAGACACAGGGACTACGCAGGGTGAGTGGGGGTTTCAGACTCCTGGACGTGGGAGGTCCGTGGCTTGTAGCCAAGGACAGGGAACTGCGGCTCATGGGGACATATGTACGCACATGTGAGCTTATTCTCTGTCCTCCGCTTGCCTGGGAGGAGAGATGGAATCCCACTCCCCTTCCTAAGCTTTCTATCAATAGCTAGATAACGCCGAGACGATTTTAATGTTTCCTCGCTTCCTGCATGACAGAGCCTTATCTCGAGGCTTCCCCTTCGGTGTGGGGCTCTGGGAAGGAACCAATGGGAATATCTTCCAAAGGAGCCGGCGGTGAATTCCCCAGGTGACCAACGGCCTCAGTCGGCTGCGGAACTGACCGCTCTTCCTGGTCCTGGCCGCAGCCCCTCGCTGCTGACCACGGGCAGGGAAATGCCGGGTTTGAGAAAGCCCCCTGCTTGTTTTCCTTGGCCGCTGCGCCCCGTGTTTTGTAAGTGGAAGTTTCCTCAGGGTTATTCTTAGCTCTGCTCAGGGCGCCTCGCAGCAGAAAACCCCGCCTGGTCACTTCTCAGACAGGAAGAGATTGCTGTTTTACACTACCTAGCTTCTCTGCCTCTTTATGTTGTTGTTAATCCTCACCTGAGGATGTTTTTTCCATTGCTTTTCAGGGAAGGTGAAAAGAAAGGAGGGAGGGAGGAAAGGAGGGAGGAGAAAAGGAGAAAGGGAGGGAGGGAGAAAAAAAGGGAGGGAGGAAAAGAGGGAGGGAGAGAAACATCAATGTGAGAGAAACACATGAACTGGTTGCCTCCTGCACGTGCTCCTTGGGGCCAGAGCAAACCCACCACACAGCAACCCAGGTACATGCCCTTCACCAGGAATCACACTCACAACCCTTCTGATGCCCTAACCACTGAGCTTATGAGTCAGGGCGCTTCTTTGTCT